CCCTCCAAGACGAGCTGCGCCAGCATCAGTTACCGGATGATGCGAAGAAACGATCCAAGCCCGTAGATGCTCGCGACATGATGTGAGACTGCAGAGGGTGTCCATATTCGAACCATTCCCGATGGTATTTCTTTGCTTTCTCTTCAGAGGAGAATCACTTACAATAATGGATTTATACTATTAATCGCTTGTTAGCGACTTCAGGCTCATAGCATGAACACACTATCCACAGAACTATCCACAGAATACAATCAAGGTACGTGTCTTCAAAATTGCGAAGAAGAGGAAAGCCCTACCAAGGTAAAATACACTCTGACTCCGCCCATACAATCGGCGCACTTTGAAATCCTGTTTGCGCTCAGTTTCTTGATTAGTAAGACTGTATAATGAAGCATACCATTACGCTCTTTTTTGATTCGCCCACAATTCGCTTCTATCACCTGGGCGACGTTTTCGACTTCGTTCGAATCCAGTGATAATGTCCTCCGAGAGGGAACGGCCACATAATACCTAAAATATTGAGGTAACAGACAATTTCTCCAGAGCGAGTCAGGGACAGCCCCCTCTCGGCCTCTTCTAGGGTTCATAACATGGATAAGTCTTTCATCATTGAAGCTGAATGACATCTAGGTATCGCTGCACCCTCACTTCAGAAAGGTCCCCGCGTTTACGACCCCCCTCGCTCGAGGTCAAATACGACCCCCGCTCCCCCTGTTGTGATAATCACAACGATGGCGGGCCCCGCTCTCGGGTCCTATGGTGCTGCTGTAATGTGGGCGAAAAAGTCCTCCAATTTCGCATATGTGCGCACATACACAGCTTTGCAAATTTAACGCATTTCGAATAAGTATCACAATGTGTGAAGTGGCGGTGCCATTACAACTCCCTCAGTCTTCGGTCCTCTGCTACGGCAACTCCCCTTTCCTCATCTTAACCTAACATCTTGCTAATTTCCCCCTTTTCCTCAGCTTTTCCAGGAAAGACCTCCATTCTTTCTTAAAGACACATGGTTAGCCCAAACACATTGAGGGTGTATGAGACTAACAGCCCCCAGCTGTCGATGTGTCGTGGTTTCCCCGCCTGAAACTGCACGGGGGTCCGAGTACGGGACCGTGGGAAAGGCTTATTCCTTGCTACGCCGCCCGAAATGCAACTTGCGCGCGGCGAAATGCAACTTGCGCGCGGTGCATTTTGGGCGGTGTAGCAAGGAATAAGCCTTTCCCACGGTCCCGTACTCGGACCCCCGTGCAGTTTCAGGCGGGGAAACCACGACACATCGACAGCTGGGGGCTGTTAGTCTCATACACCCTCAATGTGTTTGAGCGTACCAATGGTGTCTTTACAGTAGTGGCTGAGGATTCGATTAGGTAGGGGACTTTCATCCCAATCGAATACTTCGAAAAGATTTCTATACCCAAGTAGGAATTCTTATTAAGCCAAATAAATGTGACAGACGACGACAGGCACGGTTCCAAGACCAACACCGCTGCATGGCGTTTTCCCAGTGCGTGCGTATACACTCTGGGCTATGGCGTACACTTTTATCAGAGGTGCGTCAAAAAACGAAGGTTTCAGGCATACGCTGAGGCGACGCTCTTCCGAATTTCCATGGGTTAGAGAATGATCGCTAGAACACCCATAATCCGCATTGCGCGCAGTATTTCAATATAGTGCTTTTGGACAGAGAAGCCACGATCTAAAGGTGTGGTTATCAAGGCGATGGTTGGGAGGGCTTGTTCGGAAATAACCCAAACTTCCGAGAAATGGTGAAGATACCCCTCACGGGAATTCTTGTAAGCGCCTCCATGAACCATGGAGAAGAGCACAGTAGTCTCAAGGTCTCAAGTTGCTTCTGCTTAAAGTAACTTGCTACACCTGTCGCATGGGTGACCCCAAGGGTTGGAACTCGAATCACGATAATTTGGTACTTACTCAAAAATAGCAGCAGTATATGGCGAGAAAATGAAGAAAAGGCGAAGTAAATGGAAAGAAATCTGCGGAAAGCCATTGTTCTGCATGGTCTTGAGTGAGAATTTTCGGACGAGTTTTCAGCTCACATCGCGCCAACAACTGCCTCCGCATAGATAGATACAGTTGCAGGTGATCCATGAAGCATCCATGAAGATTCATATAGTGTAGTTCACTGCGGACGGTTGGGCGTGTCAGTGCGGCTGCGTTTGGCGCGGTGCCAAACCCGTTCTCCACCAGTTTTTAAAGCGAACAAATGATATGACTGTATCATATCGATCGTATTACTCGTTTTCTACCACTTTTTGTCGCATGCGCGCTTCAAACAAGAAGGCAGAGAACGGCCTTGACGCTGTGCACACTCATACTGGCTGACACGCCCAACCGTCCGCAGCGAAGTAGAGTGTATATCCATGAAGCAACGCTTCATATCAATTGTACTTCATAAATGAAGCGATAAGAGTACCAGCGTCGATGTGACTGTGCGGCCATTTGTGGGCGGGCGGTTGCGGTGGGCGTCTGGGTCGGCATGTTGCACCTTGGTTAGGCACCATAATCGACCGCCCAGAGTTTTAAGGGCGGCTATACAGGGGGGGCCAAAAAAAAGTCATTCTGGCCGAGTCACATATGAGCGAAGTTTTCGCAGCCCAGACAGAGGAAGTGGATATGAGTACCAGGGCGGAAGATACCCAAGATCTTCCCCTATAAGCTGGAGCAGGCTGCCGCCAATCGCCTTCATGTACGCCAAAATATGAAGTCATCTCCAGTCGCGGCCTGACTGGAGAACACCTTTGGAATTCACGTCGCCTCCAAACAGCTGCGAAACTTCTTGAATGAAGTCATCCACAGATAGCTACCTGGAGGTCAGTACTCTTGATCTGCAAGACCCCCCCACATCGAGCGGCTACGGCAACGTCGCTACGGTCTAGGACATCATCTTCACCGTATTCGCCGAGGCGCGAGTTGATGGTATGGACCGGGGTACCTGGAAAGGGAAGACCGATATTTTCTTTGTAGACCCCGACTGAAGGTGAGCGCTGGCGGTTACATCAAGTAACTCGAGAAGAATATCCTCCCTACATGTGGTCGCCCGTACCTTCTTGGAGACCTTGTGCTGCTACAGGTTTGGGTGCCACCACATGGAATCAAAGGGTTTTGGAAAAACTCCCGCCTACTCGGAATGGAAGAACGTTGAGTACCTGGAAAAGATCTAGTATTTAAGCGGGGGTCCTGAACTAAACCCCCTCAATTACTCGGTTCGGGCGGAGCTCAACAGGGTGGTCTACAGTGGCGGAGAAATCAACGATCTCGCTCAACTCCGGTACCCACTCACTTTCGCGCGGCCGAATCTCTCGATGGCGCTCCTCCAGAAGGCTGTGGCGGAGTATCATTATAGTATTTAATGTGCTCTTTAATATGGTAGTAAAAATGTCCGATAAAAATTTAATAAAGTGTAACTTATAGCGCCTTGAAAGTCATGGAGGCAAAATGACTTTTTTTTGGCCCCCCCCTGTAATGGCGGCAGGTGCTATATGGCGAGAAAATGACGAAAAAGAGAAGTGAAGAGAAAGAAATTTGCTAAAAGCCTCTGTTCTGCATGGTCTTGAATGAAAATTTTTGGACGAGTTTTCAGCTCGGGCCAACAACTGCCTCGCATCGACATTTGGAAAAGATACGTGCGGATCCTCCTTCAGGTCGTGTGAAGTGGGTCTCGGTGAGAAGTTTTCCAATGAGTGGGAAGCCAGTCGACGAATGCGGTAGGAAAAAAATATTTGTTTAGCAGGTTTAACGCCACTTTACCGTTCAGCGTTCTTTATATAAGCACCCACCCCGGGCCTAAAACTAGTCGTCAAAATTTCTATGCGATCACTCCTTTAGTAATGGAGGAATAGCAGAATCAACTATAAGCCGACGGTATCTAACCATTTTGGTAGGTACACTGTGTATGGGTTATCCCACTAGTCACATTCATCTGAAACAAACCAACGTGCTCAGCTTTCACGTCCACTCCCGCATTTGTGTGGGTTTTTCGTATGCGTTTGAGGATTTTTTGCCCTCGGCGCTAGCTTAGTTCATCGTGTGCTGTACCATTTGGATCACATGCCTACCCAACCATGGTAATCACAGCCGGCCACTCCAACTGGCTCTTGCAGGTGAAGTTCCGAATGTTGCCGGAGCAGTAACGACAAACGACAAATCGGACAGAGACCAAACGACACGATACAGAAAGGACAGAGCTGCCCGTTTATGGGATGTAGTAGGATATCATAGTCTTATAAATGAAGCGATTAACAAGATGTCGGCGACATGTGACTGATGGCAGCCGCTGTGTAGGCGGCGCGTTGGAAAGGGCGTCTGGGCCGGCGATGGTTTGACACCTCGGGTTAGGCACGCAGTAAGTGGTGCCTATGGTCCGGAAAAGGCCCCCGCAGCGTTTGCGAAAGAAGCATTTCAACATTTCTTTCCGTGTTAAGTGTATCGACCGTCGTACGCGCATGTCGATACTAATGCGTGGCCACTTGCCTTTGAACGTAAAAAGAGCACCCAGAAGGAAGTTACTCAATGACCCAGTGGGTTGAAGTTTTGCGTGAATTCTCGAACGATACATCACCGGCTTCCCGTAGGACTTAATAAGCTTTGCGCCTCTGAAGACTTTGTGTAGGCGCTGACCTTTCTGTTTCAGCTCTATCGCATCAAATTCCATCACGAAAGCCAGAAAAACGTACCTAATTCCAGACCTCTCATCCACTCCTATTACATAATTCTCCATAAACTTAAACTTTCGTTTCCAGTTGAAGTCAAACAAATGTTCATTGTTGTCAAACCATTCATATGGATTTGAGCTCGTAAGTAGCTGAAATCTTTTGAGAAACTGACCGATTATGACCAAGGCCCGCACAAAACTGGTCGTTTTCTCACTGCTTTCAACCTTTGTTGGATTGTAGCGTGGCCTTTTTCAGTGCGCAGGTGCAATAAACAGCACATGGCAGAAAGCGGATTGTGTGTGTAGTGATTCTCCAAAGAGGAATAATGTAGCGCGAGCATCGATAGATGCAACGGGACAGCTGTGGAGCACATTTCAAAGTTAGAAAAAGAAAACGAAATATGCTTTTCAGAAACTGTAAGGACGCATAGTGCTTGGTAAAAAGTGAATTACAAACTAGGGATCGGAAGTTGGGCCTGATGCCGTCAGGCTTTGCGAAAATACGCGAAGCATCTGGAAATACGAACATTATTTTATGAACGGGCAACGTACAAACGGGAGCAGGGTGTCGCATTGGCCTAAGAAGGCTTTATAGATTGTTGATTTCTTCGGGCACGCAGTCGGGCGGCTTCAGGCGGGAGATAGGGGGGGGTTGTCATTGACGGCCTTTCATCTGCGGCGTTTTCTACCATAGTGATCGATTCAGGAAAAAATCAACCAGTGGTAGATAACATCGCGGATGGAATCATTCTATGCCTCATGACGCTTCCCCGGTTGATTGCGACAATATCAGTCGTAGACCACACTAGTCAACCACAGCATTACTTCTTCTAATAGTTGATCTACTGTTGTTTACTTCTTGCAGTTTTTTGGGAGTTGTATCCACCGTCACAGTGAAACGGAATCCCTTAGTAGCCCCGATGAAGGATGATTTATTCTGACCTCAGTGAATGGCAGAGGAATAAAGACGATCAGGACAGAACTAGACCAGATTTTTCAACAATTTGAGTGGGTAAAAGGCCAGGCTCTTGCTGGTCTTGTGGGCGAGACAAGCCACGTACATTGCGTCTTCTTCACTGGTGTGCCGCCCGCTTGTGCTGAAACGGCAAAAGATCACGCATCAGTGAGGAGGAGAGAGCAAACGGCTGCGGCATAACCCCACGTCGCCCGCCCATAGTGATTCTTCGTGATTTGCGTCTGCGGAGGCGCAATGAATATTCGAAGCCATCGGTAGCAATCTCAGTTTAAAGTAAGATTCCCGCTCATGAATACAAACTGACTATCAGCTGCATTTTGTCCTAAACCTGTTTATCATACCTTAGAACGATGATTGCGCTGCTGAGATTCGAAATAAACGCTACAGCCGTGGTTGCTGAAGTAACAAACATGGACGCTAGGGAGTGACGTAGAGAACTGCGAATGGCTCGAATCATTCGGTCGCGCTCCTTGTACAACGGTACATATGGATCTCCAATATGATATGGTTCTTCCTTTGCCTTAATACCAAGTACTAGGTGTTCTCAACTTTATGAGTTCTTTTTATTTATTGCTGTAGAAATTCTAGTGAAAATCTCGAAAGTAGGAGTTTTGAGACTTCTCGAAACTACCTACTAATTTTGAGATCATTCAAAATTAAGAGTGTTGAACAAGTGAACTTACCTCACTTGGGGAGATTTGTGATTTTGCTAAACAGGTGGTTGAATGTTTACCTACCTTCCTGAATCTTCTGTAGTATACCAGTAAAAGGAACCAGTAAAAGGAATGCGTCATCTGCACCCACAGCTATCATTAAAACGAAAGCAAGCAAGTTCAACGACGGGAAGAAATTTATCCGAAGGATAACCTGAAGTGAATTGGGTAAATTCGACCCAAATTTTTGAAAACTAATGGTTGCCAGGATATTTGAAAAATCCTTACCGTATAGAAGAAAAAGGCGACACCCATTGAAAGGAATATAATGGACAGTATGACAAAGGTGTATAGAAAGCTACGGGAGTAGAGAAGGAAACATGCAAGAACAAGCACTGCTGAAATCTACTCAAATATAGCGATATTCCGAACATCGAAGTGCACTGGGCGGAAGTGGCTTGGAAGCAAAAGGCGCTGCACCATAATAATATTTTTAGACACACTAATGGGAAAGGCTCAATAGCAAGGTCTGGCTCCGCCCGCACGTAGAAAATCATCTCAATCTGCTCAGTGTTCAATTCTGAATTGAAGGGATATGCGGCGATTCAGATGTGAGGCATTGCTATGTTGACGCGCTTGGGGTGCTAGCGATGCCGCAACCGTTGAGTACGAGTTGTGTAGGCATTGCTCGTCCAAGCTGTTAGAGGGATCACGGACGGACAGTCCACCAACGAAGTGCTGGTTGAGGACGCCGCCAGATAAAGGTATTCCCTTGCTCCAACGGCAGCCCATGTATGAGGTGAATCACCTCGGAATTGCCGCGCGATTCGCCGCGCGCGGCGGGCGAAGTAGCCTGGCTAGCTCACGATGGAAAGACCTGTCTCCCAATTGAAGTGTTAAGCCATAAAATACGATTCTTCCTATGCAGAGATAAAACCCATTCTCGTGAGAAGAGAGAAGGAAGGAGCTCCCCATGCTATCTCTACATCTCGGGTGATGCGAGAGTTGGCTCCTTGTCTAAAACGGGGAAACATTGGAATACATGATCGGCTTCTGGAATGAGTTGGGCCAACTTATTTATTGTGCCTTGACCAAGGCAAACTGCGATGCCGGTCATATCATGAGAACGCGCTACGACAAGAGGACGAAGAGAACGGTAGATGGGCTCCTTGGGCTCCCTAGAACTTCCCCGGTTAGTGAAAGACCTGCTGCAAGATAGGGCAATACCCTTACAAACCAGGTAAGGCACCTAAGTATGCTGTCGAGCGACAGAAACAAATCGTGTTGATGTTTGCTAGATTGTATCGTTCCTGTTGCTCGAAACTAATGAGGCGAGACGCCTAATCCATAGAAGGAAGAAGAAGAAGAAGTAGCGCGCACAAAAGTCAAGGAATCCCATACATAGAAGAAAACTTTGTGAGCTAGACAGCGTCTTGATCTGCTCTTTCTAAAAGGGCATGTCTGGGTGGGCGTGTCTCCTTTTACCACCAAGCCACCTTATTTCATGTATGCTCACATTACTTACCTGACACAGCAGCTATTTTAGCGTCACTTTGAAGTGCGTAGATGAATTCAGTATTTTTCACGTTGAAGAACGATCCTTTCAGTGAGACGTCACCAACGAACTTATTTTGGAGTGCCTTGAGAAGCGCTTTATAGAATTCAAAACTTCCCTGACGGTTGTCACTTGCAGGAATCTGAAAGGATGAGTTTTGCGAGACAGGTTAAATGTTTCAGTTACGATGATGAACTCACCTTAAGAATGACTGCCACATAGCGATTCCCATCTGTCATGGCAGTGGGCAAGAGATAGTGTCTGACTTGCTGAATTAGCGGTGTCTCACACTTTGGGAGTTGAGGATCTTTGCGGCATTCGTGAAGTGTTGATTGTAGCGTGGCAGTGCTTAAACCAAAAAAATTAGAGTTTACATAGGATAATCCCTTAACACGTTGACGACGTGCCAATTTCTTCATGACTTGCGCGTGGGACGGCATATTTTTATTCGTTGAAAATTAGAAGATATGAATGAATGATTCTGATCAAGGGACTCACAAACAATGCCTGAGATAGAACTGAATCTTGAATCTTCAACACAATTTACTTTTTGCTGCCCCATGACAGAAAACTCAGCAAAGAACTAGCCCGCTCGTTCCCTTTGCTAAGATATAGTCCAAGCAAAGGAAACGACACCATGGCAGGCAGCCAAGGGTTTTGCCT